GCACTGCTTTGTCATCAATGGAACAGTTACTAAGAGCTAATTCTAATAATGATTTATTATTAGCCAGTAAGTTACATAAGGATGAGATGCAGTCCTGCGTTAGTTGAGTGTCTTCTATTCTCAAGAGTGTCACCTTTTCATTTTGTAATAAAACTGGCAACAGATCACACACAACGTCAGGAGATGATTTGTTGATGACAATGGTCGTATGTTTGTATGTTAATAGAGAAACTACTTCTTGACATTGTATTAAAGATGGAGAGGTCAGTTCAACACCATCATCATACCACCTAATTGCTTTAGGCTTTCCTGAATACACAAACAATTATAAGTAATTACTTTATTATCAAGTATAATTTTCTCTACTATCATATTTTTAATGGCTAAGGCAAGCAACACTTCTGTATAGGTGGGTTTTTTGTGAAGCTTATAAGTTGTACAAAATTTGCTTTTCAATTATTGATACATAGGAATAAAATTTTGTATGCCAAAAAACCTTAATTTTGATTGCTTTTCAAAGTTTGAAAGAAATATTGATCATGAACAATATCTAATACCCTCAAAATACTCTATAGATTATTAGTACATATAAATATATCTTACCATGTTCTTTTTTTCTAAGTTGATCTAGCAGAACTGAATCTTGTTTGATTAATGATAAAAAGAGACTTGCTCTCTCAACGTTGCTCCTCATCTTAATTTCCTTGATTTTAGGTATGTCAACATTTTCTGTCATTGCATAATGAAATGGTTCAAGTGACTCCAATGTTGACAGTTCACTCTCTTCATCTTTTTTAATATGAATCATATTAACAAGTCCCTCTTGATCAGTATCTAATGATCTTGCTAGCCACCATCCTTCAGTACGCTCTTTCTTGACCTCAAGTTTCTCTCCTTTCTTGATTGAAAGCTGAGTACTATTCCTTGCCTCCCAGTCTCTAATAGCTACATAAACTGGTCCTTTTGGTGGATTTATTGATTGTGTAGACTGATCCTTTCCTAAAATATCAGTACTAGTCATTATGTATTAGTTAAAGCACTGTTGAGAGTAGGCTATGGAAATCATTGCACGAGGGGTGGTCGAGAGGAAAATGTAGCACGAGGCGAAGCCGATTGCTACATTTTCGTCAAGACCACTGATCCCAAGTGCAATAATTTCCGTAACCTACGAATCAACAGTGCTTTGATTGGTTTGTAGTGGTGCATGGGTGGATCAAATGAAATTTCAAAAGTCCCACAGGTGGCCAGCGCAAGATGATCAGATCTCATTTATCACTATTATTATTGTTACATGTCTAGTGTATGTAGCTGTGGCTGTGATTTGCCTCTATGGTTAACAGGAAAGCCCATACATATTATAATGCACAGTACTATATATTCCACACAGTGCTTGCTACCTTTTCCTACCATGCGGTTATATTGGAAGTTATAGCACTGGAGGCGCCTTTGATCCGCCCATGCACCATACTACAAGTTAATATAATGTAATACATACTAAGAGTAATTGAAGTTTTATTCAGTTGTTGTATATTCATTAATGATATCTTTTCCTGTAACTGTTCTATCTCCTTTTCTCTTTCAATTAATGTTTTCTCTACTCCAACTAACGTTTCTTCTATTCCTATATAGTCATTAATAATAGTCATTACTACAAATCAAAAATTGGTTGCTATTATTAAAACAACATTAATTCTCATAACAAATATTTGTGTATTATTTAATTGCATGTAAGAAGGACTAGTATTAGTATTGAGTATATACAATCATCCTCCTACTATAACAAACTAATGTACAAGCAATAATGATACTCTAAACACAGCTGTACTGTATTGTCATTATACAGTATTAAGTATGTCTGTATATATACCTGTTTTGCTTTGAAGAGATGATCGTAAATGATCTATTTCCATTTGCATTGCTTTTGTCATCTTCTTTTTACTCTCTTCCTTCTCAGACTCTAAGTAACAAAAATGAACCAATTAAATTATTAGCAACAAAAATTCAGCTCATGTCTTTATTCAAAATTCATGCACATGACAATATTCATAGATATCATGTCTCAAAACATGAATGTCATTATACCTGATGATTGTATTGATGACTTATTGCTTTCATCAACTTCTCTACTTTGATATGAGATACCTTTAAAGTATCAATAATTATAATTAATAATAATTAGTATACACCTAATGTGTCTATTGTACCCTTCAATTTAGCATTCTCCTCAAGTAAATCATCTCTTTCACTCTCTACCATCTCCAGTTTCTTCATTAGACTCTTCACCTCCTATCAAATATTAAAGTATACTATTAATTTATATACACATACATTCACTAACCTCATCAATTGCATGTTCATCATACACAGTATAGTAACCAATAGTTAAACTAATCAATCCCATCTCCTTTAGCATATCAATGTTATCTCTAGCTGTCACTAGTAAACTCTCCATCAGATAATGAGGAGCATAACAAGTAACAATGATGGAGTTCCCTTCCTTGATGACTATCACCTCCACTTGATTATCCTTGAACGTTTTCCATAGGAGGGCGCTGATACTGGAGAGAGAATGCTCACTTGGATTCCATTTCAGAACAAACTTGATTGTCTCACAAGTGAGAAGAGAAGAGGATAGTCTCTTAAGCTGATGATTGCAAAACATTGTTAATTTGTTCTCACAGAATTCATCCAAGTGTGTCTGATAAGCTAATATCATGTCTCCAGCATCTTGTATTGAGTATTTGTTCACTATAGTCTCCAATAGAGCAACATTAGTGATAGAACATTCATCCTCAATCACTTCCATTACATCATCAAAGCTATTGGCATCTTTCAATCGAGGCTTTAAATCTCGACGACACCTTCCAAGAAAAAATTTAAGATGATCAACAGATGGAATTGATTTTTCAATGAGAGGAACAATATCATCAATGAGTATACCAAGCATATCACCCATTCTATCAAATTCAGCTTTATAGCCAGGATGAACTATTACCTCTACTACACCTATAATATAGTGTACTGACATTGAATTGGGTATAATTAATGTTACTAACCTTGTGCAGTAGCATCAGTATTGGTAGTTACTTGAGTATCACTACTACTATCTTGTAATTGTCTTGATCCTGTATTTATTATAATAGTCAATGTATATATGCTATATTATTACTTGAAGATATTGAAGTACTTGCTTGCTGACAAGATGGCATCACTGTTACTGCTGAAGGAAATGACTTTCCTATTTTATTAGAATATAAATAAATTAAGTGCATTTATAAAACTTTACATTTACCATATTCCATTATTATATCACTGGCTAAAGACACTGCTTCCTTTGATTTCATTAGAATGCTTGTCAGAGTACATAACTTGCTATGATCTTCAGCTACAGCACTTAATATTAGTAACATTGGATCTCCTACCAATGAGCAACCACAACTCTTCACTTTTGTTAATGTATCCTTAGATATCAATCCCTCTGTATGTAGGAGATCAACTGATTCCTCAGTAAGAACAACTTGAGCTAGTCTACCAATATAACACTGTAATATTTCACTAACAGGATCTGCCACTAAATGAATAAAAATTAACATTATAAAATGATAATGTCATTATTACTTGTTTTACAAATATCAGTAGAAAGAGATATTAGATTCATTTCTCTAAGAGCATTAGCCAGTGTTTTCCAAATAACAGGACCAACAGTAGTGACATTATCATCAGCTTTAGTCAACCACTTGGTTAAACATTCTATTAGGCAGCGTGAAGGATTGCCTCTATGAGCTGACTCAATAGCTTCTAGTGTAGGATGAAGCAGACCAAGATTCAATCCAAATTCAAACCATCTTGCATCAGGAAACTTGTAATGCTTTAAGACTTGTAAAACAAACTTTAACTTGCTAATATCTGTACACAAAACACGTATATTAGCATGTTATAAATAATCTGACTTACCTAATGGGAAATGTGATGCTTTTGAAGCCATTTTGAAACTAAGATTATGGATCTATAAATCAGCCTCAGCCTTAGGAGGCTGATTTATAGATCCATATAGAAACAAATCTTTACTAGGGACAGTGAGCAAAATTCATTAGTGTTACCGGTATAATAGTTACTAATTACGGTAGCTTACTATTCAAAATGCAGATTGACATAACATCTCCTATGAGTTTATCAACAGCAATTATGTAGTAAGTAATTCAAAGGCATTGTAACAATTACATTTGTTGATAAATTCAATGGTGATGCTTTTGTCAATTTGCATAGTGAAACTAACTTGCCCTTTATATATCAGCACAATGAGCTCTTTGTGTTAAGTGTAGAGTGCTGGAGAGTTGCTCCATTGATTGTCAATGGGACCTGGCACTTCCTCAATTTTTGAGGGCCTATATTGTTTTTGATACATTACAAGTAGATCAATCGTGTGAGAGAGAATGAAGTTAATATTGTTCAGATAGTTGATGATCATTATCAGAGATACATAGAACAAGAAGAACAATACTACAACAATCAAGATGATTTATCTTTTAGTCAATAATAATTTTTTAAAATAATTATTTTCTTTTCTTTTCTGCAATTTTTTGCGGGTAAAGTTCAGAGTTCAAAGCCACGTGATAACACGAGTTTAGAATATACGATAGTAGATTCACAGTAAACCTATGTATACGGAGCTACCGGTAGATCCAGACGGGAGCAAGAAGAGTTCTTCATCGTCAGTGGATCAAGATGAAAGAAAGTTACTTGCTGGTTCGTACTGGCTAGTTAGAATATTGTTCATTAGATCATTTTCAACTATTTACTGTAAGTATATATAGTCATCTGGTGGTTGTACTATGCTGTGTAGAAAGTTTGAGGTGATTCTGACTGAAATTTTTTGAGTCAGTCATGGCCATTTTCTTAAATTGGCCAATTTTTAAAAGGCTGTGGCTACAGCTCCGGTACAGTCAATTGCACTTCCGTTTGAACATATCGTGAGGCATGAGCTGACTTTCCATGCATTGTTTATTAGGCGCACATGATCCACACGCAATACGCACTGTTCGAACACAAGTGAAATCTACTGTAACTGGACATAGTTTGCGAATACAAGAGCTCCGGCAGTCCGTTTTTCTTCGTAAAACAGCTTGTGCACATGCGCAATAGTGCAAAATGGAACTTAGTCTTTTTATCAAGAAACACTAAACCCTAACCCAAAACACTACTATCCCGGAGGCTAAGATGTACGAGAGGCCGAGAGGGTGCTCTAAAAACTAAACACTAAACCCCAATCCCAACCCTACAACCCCAGAGGCTAAGATGTACAAGAGGGTGTTATTTCTTGACCTATGCTCTAAAAACTAAGCACTAAACCCCAATCCCAACCCTACGACCCCGGAGGCTAAGATGTATGAGAAGGTGTTCATTTCTTGACCTAAAAAAAGCCAAAAAAGAAAAAAATAGCAAAAAAATTTATTTTTAAAAAAGAAAAAAATCAAAAACTGCAGCATAGTTTTACTCAGTAGTCCTGACCGGATTCGAACCTCCGACCACGTTCGTGCAAACCACGCCAGCCTCTCCACTGCACCACTACGACCCTGCTGAATCATCAATGCTGGTTGTTGTATTTATACTCGGTTTTTATAATAAA